AACAATGGGGCCAAACGCATTTGGGTGCCAAAAGAGATCATTTTCAACATGAAGAGCACCAAAAAGGTTTGGATCCCGAAAGAGAAGTGAGAAGTCCGATGGACTTTGGAAAATTTAGAGACTTGACAAAGTATGGGTGCATTTCATGGGGTGCATCAGATTGGATCATGTCAATTGCCAAGTGGGGTAGTGAACACTATGGACCCAAATTCCCCTCCCCATGTTAGGTAACTAGATTTAATTTCTTACAATTTCAATTAGCATCTAGTTCTTTTTTCATGCCTAGGTTTGTATTTGCATGCTTAAATCTTTTGTCATGCATACACTAGGTAAATCATATGGTAGGCTTGCTCGGTATCACTTTTACTCTTAGAGCAAACCTATATGGTTTAAATTGTTTAGGAGCACGACATATAGCTTGTTTTACAATTGTTCATCTAATATGTGCCAAAGTCCAAATTGTAGATAATTTCTCCCGAATATCATTTCGAAAAATGATTCTCACATTCATGTGATGTCATCTTTCAAGTGGTATTTTTATTCTAAAATCAATGTGCATGTCTTCTATAAGTATTCCATACTTATGTGCACAAATTTAGGGGCAGGATACTCTATAAGTTGGATGCTTTGAGACTAACACATTTTCAAGCTTATCATGTGTGTAGTAGTCTCATTGCAAGGAAAATGGAGTCCCCGGAGTTAAGCATCATACTTCAAATATCCACCACCTATTGCAAGTGGTATAAATCAAATTGGTTTCCACATGTGGTATTTCTAAACTGATATCATCATGTTGATTTCACTTTGGTATTTATATGCTTTGTCCATGCATTATATAGATTAAACTCTCTTGAGCATTAATTTGCTAATTATGCATAAACTACATTCTTCATCATATGTATGCATATATTTAGGGGGAGTTTAGTCTATGTAATGTGAGAGTCAAAATTTGTGACCTATTTTACTCCACATACAAAGGATCACAAAGTTTGACCCTCCCTTATGTTACTAATGTCTTCCTTTTCGGTGTATGACTCCAAAGGAGAATTTGTAGGACCAAAAGCAAGCCTGATCAAAATAATTTACAAATGGTAATTGTTCGAGAAAGGGAGGATAATGGATTATGAAGTTAGGGGGAGGCTTAAATCCATAATGCCACATGGGGACATTTGCAAGAGCAAGATAAGTTTTCAAAGATATTTACATGTGGTATCTTTTAGCATCATATAACCTTGCCCTTTGCATTGCATCCTAGCAAGTAAATAGTTTTTAAATTCTAAAATTTTTATTATTTGCTTGTTTTGGTCGTGTTGTCATCAATCATCAAAAAGGGGAAGATTGCAAGGAAAATGGACCCTAGGTCCATTTACTTTGGATTTTAGTGTTTGATGACCAACACAAAATTGGACTAATGAATTTATAAGTAATTGTTTTATAGTTCTATAGGGTGCAAGACGTGACTTGGACGAAGGCGACATGATGATTCCACGATCAACACCATAAGCAAAACCCTAGAAGCACAAGAGAAGACCCTAGATATCAAGGATAGTCCAAGCATGAAGATGGAAACCAAGCCGGACGCAAGACCGCGAAGAAATGAGCTCAGCAGAGGTGATCGGACGCGGCCCTTATAGGGACCGGACGCGTCCGATCAGTTGCCCGGCAACAGCAGGCGTCAGCAGTTGTGACCGAACGCTGAGCGAAGCAGTGACCGGACGCACCGATCACACTGTTCTTCATCACGACAATGTTTTCAGTGTGACCGGACGCAGCGGCATTGGATGACCGGACGCACAAAGTACAGCGTCCGATCAAGTCCAGAGAGGTTCTAGAGCGATGCCAGCGTGACCGAACGCGTCTGATCGAGTGAGACCGGACTCGGCCTAGAGTCCAATCAACGCGCGCGCTCTAACGGTCGGGACGACTGGACGCGTCTGGTCAGGACGACAGCAGCGTCCGGTCAGTAGCAGAAAGCTGAGTTTCGCCCCCAACGGCTATTTTCTCCACGTGGCTTATAAATAGACCCCCAATCGGCCATTTGAGTAGTGGAGAGCTAAGGAAACATACCAAGGGTGTTGATACACCATTTTAGTGATCTCTACTTGTATAGTGCTTAGTGATTCATTAGGCGATTAGCGTTGGTGCTTTGCGAAGTGCTTAGCTTGATTAGACCACCGCTTATGCGCTTGCTCTAGGTTTAAGCCTAGTGTTTAGTGAGGTCTGCATACCTCTTACCACTCGGTGCTTGCGCGCACCATTATTGTACATCGGAGGGGCTTGTAGTCTTGCGAGATCACACCAACCGCGTTTGTGGTATGGACGCCACCGTGTACCGAAGGGAACAAGGCCCGCGGCGGTTCGACCGGAAGCTTGATAGTGAAGACGGCGGGGAGCGGTCTGGGAGAGGCTTGCCGGAAGGCACACTGTAGACCCACTTACGCATGGGAAGGCCCGGGGCTATCCACGAAGTTACCTGACCGGGAGCTTGGCCCGAGGGATTCTTTGCGAGGGGCCCCAACGAGGACTAGGGGGAAGTTTGCGCGCTTCTCGATACCTCGATAAAAATACCGGAGTCATCGATGGGAGTTTGCATATCTCTACCTTACTCTTTAGCTTCTGCATTTACATTGTTTGCATAACTCCTTTTTACGGTAGAGATATCAACACACTAGCAAAACCATAGTTGCACATTTAGATAGTTTATCTTTTTGCATAGATTTTGCTAAGGTTAGAAAAAGATGCCATAGTTTAGAGTTAGAGTTTTAAGTTGCCTAATTCACCCCCCTCTTAGGCGTCACGGTCCCTTACACTACCAAACCAACGCGTGAGCCGCTGCCTCTGGCACTCACCTAGCCAACCCCGTCCACCGAGATCCATGTGCGTACACTGTAGTTCCCAGCAATTTAGTTGCCTCATCAAAGGTATAAGTGCCACATGGATCCTCTAGCTGCCAATCATACGTCGGAATGGTCGCCGCTGAGCGAGACCACCCGCCGCCCAACCACACAGGTCAACTCGGCAACGCAAATCTGCTGGCCACCACTTCCCATGCCAGCCTCCTCACCAACTTTGTGGGTGCCGCCCACGCCGGCCTCCTCGCCATCTTCGTGGGCGCAACTAGCGCACGGTCCCTCTAGAACCGTTGCCCTGCACCAAGTAGATGCCAAGCTCTCCAATCGCTGCGCCAACGCCTTCTTCTTACCCACCTTCTGACGCCATGGACACTGCACCTCGAATCCTCAACTAGGTCCCACCTTGTCGGCAACCGCCATGGTTGGCATATCACGAGCTTCCAAAGCGACGCATCCAACGAGGGGAACGACGCCACAAGCGCCGTCGTCGCCTAACCAGAAGGTTAAGGTTTTATACCCAGGAAGAAAGCGCCACGCAAGGGAGAGGCCCGATCAATGGACGCTTCCAAGGAACTAAACGATGCCCAGAGGCGTCGCCGTCATCGGCCCGAAAGGGCAAGGCTTTCGCCAAGACCCCCAACCCCTTGCACAGGCCTCGTTGCTGCCGTTGCCAAGTGTGGGTTGTCGCCCGTCATTCCCGAAGCCACGCCCGAAGTCCACGACGCCAAGTCATCGGAGCCGCCGCACCTTGTGCCAGCACGGGCACCGGCTGTCACCGCCGTGTCCCCTAGCGCCCTCCGTCGACCTAGGCCGCCGCTGCGCCGCAGTCGCCGACCCCACCCTGGAGCTAGCCACCTGGATGCAGATCCAGGCGCCCGAGCACCGGACCCGACGGTCCGGGATGGCGCCACCGCCATGGAGGAAGGGGACAGGCGGAGCAGGCCTAAGCACCAGCACCGTCCGCATCGAGCCCTTCCTGGCCGGATCCGCCCAGCCCAAGCCTCGGGAGACCATATCCGGTGGGAGGGGAGCCGCCACGGTCTGGAAGCCCAGACAGCGCGCCCTCGCTGGATCTCCGCGCGCCATCCTCACCGCCCAAGCCGTAGCGCCGCCCGGCCGTCGCGTGATGCGCCCCCTCCCTGCGCCTTCGTGCGCCAATGCCTGCCGCGCCTAGCCGCGGCATCATCCCGGCCGCTGAGCTCCGCCCCGCACGACGTCAGCCGCGACCATCCTAGGCAAAGGCCTCACCGCCGCCCTCCAAGGGAGTCGCATGGGCCTCCCGGCAGCTCCCTCCGGCAGTGGCGAGGGAGGGGAGGGCGGTGGTTGGCTGGGGTGGCGACTGGGTTCGCTCGTCGCCCATGTCATCCGTGCGGGTGGGCGACGCGGGGGAGGAGACGTGTAAGAACGTTATTTGTTGAAACTGCAATAATACCGTCCTTCTCTTTCATCTCAAGTTGTCATTACCACTACTAGTTACAGTGGATTCAGATTTGGCCAAGTTGAATTTGTACCACAGAAATGAGTACCAAATTGTTACAGAAATGAATACCAAATTGTTACAGGAATGAAGAACAAATTACACAAATGCAGATACTATATACCAAAGAGATGTGGTCCTGAGCCCTGACCATGATCTTCAAATATGCACCCGAGTCTGAGAAATCCATCACTCCATGAGCAATGCAAGGCGCCGAAAGGACCGGCCGGGCCCATGGCCCTTTCGCCGGGGGACATGATCCGATAGAGTATGAGGGACATGGAAAGAGATGCCCCACCACACTCCACACAACACATATCTATACATAATAACAAGATTAGTCTTAGTTAATCGCCCATGCTCGCTCTAATAGTCTAATCCAAGCACTCATTGACACCACATAACAGAGAAAGCTGATCTCCCATCCTCCTCCCCCCTTGGATTGGATTGTCATCTCATCATCCCATCTGGGGGCCGGGCTGGGGCTATAAATACCACCTCACCCCTGGCACCCAATCCTCACTCTTTCCATCTGCAGCAACCAACCACAACCAGAGAAAGCAGAGAACAACGACTCCTGTAGAGAGCTGCTGCCGTTAGCCACCACTGTATTTCACGATCCTAGCACTAGCAGAGATCAGAGAGAAAGGGAGGACTCTAGAGAGATCGAGATGTACATGGATGACAAGAGCAAGATGCTGCTAAAGAAGGGGAGCCGGAGGTCGACGGCGGCCGCCGAGGGGAGCCTGGCGGCGGGGCTCAAGGTGGGCCGGGCATCCAGGGCCCCCGCGGGTCGGTCGGTGCCGGGCCGGCTAGCGAGCCTGGTGAAGGAGCAGAGGGCCAGGTTCTACATCATGCGCCGCTGCGTCACCATGCTCGTGTGCTGGAGGGACTAGTACTACAAGAGAGTGGGCGGGCATCCAGGGCCGTAGTAGGCCCATCGGGTGGATGTGGCTGGGGCCCAATTGGGCCCTGGAGTTGTAGCCTGGTAGGTCGTTCATGTGTCATACTGACTAGTTTCTCAAAAACAAAAAAAAGTGGAGCTTTTTACCTGTGTGCCATTAAAAAAGTTTATAATTACACACAGGTCATTAAAAAAGTTGACTGCACACAGATGCCACTGCTCTAAACTTCTTCGCCTTACAAGCCATTCCGTCCTTGTTCTGTTTGTTTTTCGCCGTTTCATAGCCCTTACAGGTGGGACCGGTCAGTTAAATTGTCCACGTTGCCCCTCAGTTCTCTCTCTCTCTCTGTTCCTCCTTATCTTCGTCCTCTCCAACGCGGCCCAACGGCGCGTCGTCAGCACCGCGCCCGGTGGCCCGGCCCCGCGCCCCCGGCACCTCCAGGCCTCGGGCCCGTCTCGGTGCTGGCTGTCTCCCTCGCGTCATGGCTCCGCGCCGCCGCCCTCCCACACGCTGAGCTCGCCCGCGCCGTCCACGGTGGCCATGCCAGAGCTCGCGCGAGTGCCGTTGGCGGTGGCCGGAGCTCACCTCCTCGCGTCACCTCCATGCGTGCTGCGGCAGATCCACGGTGAGGACCGGCTATGACAGCTCCACGCGCGCCACCTCCTGGCTCTCGCCGCCGCCGTTGGGGACGAGGCCGCCTCCCTGCACACAGGGGCCCTCGCCATCGCCGTCGGGGCTCGTGTCGGTGTGCAGCGCCGGTCACCGGCGAGTGGAACACGGCATGCGGCGAGCCGGGTCTGCTCCTCGCATCTTCGTCTTCGGCCTCACCATGCCCAACGGCCCTGTCGGCGTCGCCATCGTCGAGAAGGTGGAGGACTTCGTGGTGGGCATGCTGCTGCCGCTCTTCTTCGCCATGAGCGGGCTCTGCACGGACACCGCTAAGATCACCAGCACGCCCGCGGGCCGCTCTGGCCGCGGGCATCCTCAAGGTGGCCGCCGCCGTGTTCGAGGGGCAGCCGTGCGGGGGGCAGCTCCACTCCGACCACAGCGCCACCTCATCCAGGTGAACGCGCGCGAGCTCGCAGTCGCGGTGACCGCCTCGGCGCCGCTGCTCCGCGCGGCCGCCCAGCCTAGCCTCGGCCGCCGCTAGCGCGGGTGCGGGGGAGCTCCGCCTCGGCCGCCACGGGCGCGGGCGCGGGCGAGCTCCGCCCCGGCCGCACGCACGAGAAGAGAGATCGAGTTTGAGAGAGAGAGAGGATAGGGATGAGAGGGGTATTATTGACGTTTTGACTGACCTGACCCACTTGTCAGGACTCCCAAACGGTGAAAAACGAACGGAATGCGGATGGAATGGCTTGGAAAGCAAAGAAGTTCAGAAGGGTGGCATCTGTGTACGTTCAACTTTTTTAATGGCCTATGTGTAATTACAAACTTTTTAATAGCACATAGGTAAAAACCTCAAAAAAGTGTCGTAGTGACTCTTCTTTCCGGAGACAGGAAAGAGAGATCAGAGATGTGCCTGTTCTATGGTCATCCTGTGCTTCATAGTGTTTATAGCGTCAGAAAATTTAGTTGCTGTTCTGGCTGAAGGACAGCACAGCATTGTTGTAAACGGTTAGTACACTTCCAATTTCAGTGAGAATTACGGTTCCTGCTTGGTATCACAAGTGTGAACTCTGAACAATTCATTTTTCGTGCTTGGTATCACACAAGTCTGAACTTTTTTTCCTGCTCGGTACCACAAGTCTGAACTCTGAACAAGGCAAGTTGGTGGTTAATATAGGACGTTGTTTCTTGAACTCTTAACAAGGCAAGATGGTGGATTGGTGGTTAATATAGCAACGTTGTTTCTTGACAAATCAGTACCTGTAAATGAAACCTGAGCATTACCATTTATCAGTCACTGTGTTTTTCTGAATGAGTTCTAGATGTTCCTTTTAGATGATTTGATCTGAGTTGCTTTCTGTGCAAACGACTACTGAAGAGTGAAGACACGCCTACAGAAAAATTCTATTGAAAAATTGCTGTCATGAATGTCTAAAACACAACCTTCACCTGTTACAACAAAACTCTTGTCTTACCGAATTTCTGTCAAAAAGAAGGAACAAAATAAACGTAGCTACGAAAAAACGACAGACTGCCAGTTTCAATTCTGTCAAACATTCGAAAGAATCTGTAACAACTACACAAACATCAGCTAGCGTGCACTATCTGCTGCTAATCATCCGGTTGATCGAGGTATATGACCCGATGCATGCACATACGACGCCAATCATTATGATGATTATGCAGAGGATGATCTGAAAAGAAAGGGAAAGATCACAGATATTCAGTGTTCAGCAATTTCGGGGTTCAAATTCTGTATTTGTTGGTGTCTATGTGTCAGGGTTTCTGGTTGGTTACCTCCCACAAAGGTACTGCGCCCTTCTTGATGGAGAGATAGCATGCACATGGGAGTATCAAAGCCTGTAAATCATCAAGCACATTTTTATTAACTTGTTCAATTGGCCAAAGAAAAATCCACTGCAGAAGTTTAGGTGAAATATTTTGCAGAACCTACCACAAGCATTGTGAAGACAGATCCAAGCAATGCCATCACCAGGGCTGCAAATCAGAGGGAATAGGAAGTAGCATTAACACGCATGATGTTTTGGTAAGTTTCACATGTTTTAACTTTTCTAGATACATTGCTTTTACTATATATATATGTAGACATACTGTATGTATAAGTGCAATAGCGAAAGATATGTATCTAGAAAACCAAAACATCTTAGAATTTGGAATGATGGGAGTAGTAAATACTATTCGAAATTCAGTTACTGAGAAGACTACTCACCAAAATAAGGAAAAAGCAGAGCCACCGCAACAGTTGAGAAGACGAGGCATGTCCTAACAGACATTCCAACCAGGTAACTCTGCATCTTCTTTGGTAGGGCTTCCTCTATAGACAAGGCGACTGGGGTCATTGTCAATGCATACTTTGTGTATGGATTCACAACCTGAAACCAGAGAAAAAAAGTAATGAAATTAGCATCTCTCCTTCATTTTGAATGCAATGGCAGAACGATAAGGGATGGCAGAACGATAAAGGATTTTTTTTTTCCTCGTACCGTCATCCAAATGGCAATTTTCGATGGGATGTACTGTTGTGGCAAGTTCAGAGTGAACTGTGACATAGTGGACTCGCCAAACATCAGAAACCCTGAGACCGCAACTCCAGCATAAACAAGTGTTACCACTGTGAAGCTGAAACGGTGGAGAATGGCATCAGGTAAGCAGGCGGCAATTTTCACAAGAAACAACAAAGTTATCGTGTTGACAAGAGCACTACTTACCAGAACAGGAGCACAAATGGAAACTGCGAGCGCTCCTTCATGGACGAATATATGTTTGGAAAAACCGAGTGTCCTGAATAGCAGTATCCATACAGGCCAAGTGCCACCGGAAGGTGGGTCACGTTCACTACAGGACCAGAAAAGTGAAACCCAATTCCTTCTCCAATGCCAACCCAGAATAGGCAGACGATGACTGTAATTGTCGCGATCACACCTCCAGCTGAGTACAAAGATGGTCAGGACTCAGGAACAATCCTTCTTTCACTGAAAGATTACTTTTATTGCTCAGAAACTAACTGAACTATTTGTAATACGAGTCAATTCTCATACTGCCATTCCTTAGCAAGATTGCTCTGACTTAAATAGTCCTACATTCCTCTGAAAGATCAGAAATAAGAAGCAATGCTGTAGAGATTCTACATTTTTACATACCAGAAAGATATGAGAGGAGACTGAGGTTCCTGAGCCACACTGATGGGAGAATTGCCAAGGCCATTGTGATTGCAAAGAGATTGTGTGCGTTCAGGTCGATGCCGGTAAAAGCTAAATGTGCTGAGGGAAACACTGATGACAAGCTGTCTCCTAGCAGCGTGATGTACTCCACACAGCTTGCCTGCAAAAATTACTTATGTTCAACAACCAAAGGCATACTAGCCAGCCATTCACAATAAGTTTCAGAATTCAGAGAACACTTACATAAAGCTCCAGGTAAAGAATAACCTGAAAAAGAGATGTGATCAGTCAGGTGAACAATAGATGAGGTGATTTCTGAAGAACTTTGTATTGTCAGGAATACACACCGATACAAAGATTCGACCGAAAATACCGAAAGCAACTTGTCCAATATCTGGGTATGTCTCAATGTTGGGCGAACTGTCTATGCATCTCTTCAGAAGCAAGCCCGTGTAGCACGAGCTGCCACCCAACAAGGGGGAGCAGCAGGAGGCTTAACCATCCCCTTCCTTGATTCCATAAGCTGTGGTGAGAATTCCGACGCCGCACAGAACATTGAACCCTGGAAATTCGACCAGCAATGAGGTTCAGAACAAAATCAGCATCACAATTCGACATCCTGAACCTAGCTAATTACTCTGCAGCTGATTTCAGAGTTTCAGCTACTACGATTTGAACATGAACAACAAACTTAAAACCAGGGAATCAAGTTCAACTGATCACGCACCATTGATGATTGACTGGCTCCTGCTGCACTTGCTAGCAGGCGGAGGAAGCTCGATGTAATCGGATTTCAGGCAGGCCCTGGACGGCCTCTCGGGCAACTCGGCCTCGTGCCCAGCCGGAGGGGGCCGCGGCGGCTGGGCGATGCCGTCCGTGGACTGCTTCACGGGCGGTGGCTGCTGCGGGTGCAGCGACGACTGCGACAGCTGCGAGAGCGAGGGCGGCAGCAGCGGCCTGGTGAGCGGCAGCCCCGAGCCGTCGCCCTTCCTGAGGAAGAAGGAGCTCCCGGCCTTGAGGAAGGAGCTGCCGAACCTGGTGAGGCTCGGGCTCGCTGCCATGAGCGTGTTCACCCTCGGCGACGGCACCGCGCTCATCATGTCGATCGACTGCCTGCGAAACGAAAATGCCGCCGAGAAAAACAATCGTCCGTCAGCTCCGAATCGCGAGCGACATTGACAGCGTGCAACCGTCGTATACGTCGTCGTCGTTGCGTGGAAGAGAGGGCGAGGCGGTTGGTTGACGAACCTGTAACTCTGCGGCCACGCGCCCTTCGGGCCGTCGTCGGGCGCGTCGTCGTCGCGCTCGTCGCCGCCGCGGCGCCCGCCACGGCCGGCGCGGGCCTCGTCGTCGCTCCTATCGGAAAAGGATCCCTCGTCGGAGGAGGTCGGCGGGGAGCCGCCGTCCCGGTCTGCGACGAGGTCGTCGTCCTCGTCGCCGATGAACAGCAGCGACCGGTCGCCGTGGCCCATCTCCTCGTCGCGGTCCATCGCTGGCGTCCACGATCTCTATACGAGAGTGCACGCACACGACACAACACGTCAATGCAAGCGAGGATCAACGAGATTCCAACCATCAATCCCTGATGCAACGATCTCACAACAACGAAGACGAGAGATTAGGGTACGTACCCGAACACGTACGTGGCGACGCTCCCGCGATCTCCAACTCCTCCAGCCACGAGCGAGCGAGAGAGCGAGGGGAGAGAGAGAATATGGGGTCGAACACGACCGGGGGTGGGGGGGGGGGGGGCGGGGGATGGAGAGAGGGCGGCCGTTTTCTGAGGAGCCGGTCCCGGACTCGTGGCCGCGCCGCCTCTCTCGCAACGATGAACCGGGTGAAGTACGCACGTAGTCGTGTTCGCGGCGGCTGACACTGGGCCCCTCGCACTGCCACTGAATGGTGGGCCGTGGGCCCATGCTTTCCCCTCGTGTGGTATCGGAAGCGTGCATGCGTAAATCGAGATGTCGCGTCAGGTTGGTATTGAGCTGGAAAACAGTAGGAGGACGTACGTGACAGCTTGTTCCGAGTTTACGTGACCGAATATTCCAACGTCTAAACTAATATCCCCTCCGATCACAAATAATTGTCTTTTTTTAAATACTCCGTCCATTTTAAATTATAAGTCGTTTTGATTTTTTTGGTAAATAGATTTTCCTATGTATCGAGACGTACGTTATATCTAGATACATAGCAAAATTAATGTACTAAAAAAGCCAAAATCGCTTATAATTTAGAAAGATGAGAGTACATTCTTAAAATATTTCAAATCTATGAAATTTTATAAGTACTTTTTATTACAAATCTACATATATAGCTTACATGTTTTAATATATTAAATAATTATAAGTTACTAGCACACTACTACAAAATTGGTTTGAGAATACAACCTTATTTATTTATAGAGATAGTCCAAATTTGTCTCCATCTCCTAAAATATTTAGTTAAAGGCGGTTGGTGTATTTAAGGAGACATTAAAAACAACAACTGTGCTTGTAAATATAGAGGGTCTCTCAAACCCGGCTCTAAAATAGATTATGTTTTTTAGAAGAGGAGCTTGTAAAAGGCCACTCTAAGAAAACTGGCATGAAAACAAACTGGCCTATTTGGTTAAAATATACACAACACACACTTAGGGTTCCCTCATCCACGTCGTTGTTCTCAGCTCTCTCTCCCCACCTTCCCACCCATGGTTCCGCCTCCCCACCATCACCCTCATCTACCTTCCACCAATGGTGACTACTTTCTCTCTCCACCTTCCCACCAAATGCTTTGCCTCCCCATCACTTCCCTCCTTTACCTTCCACCGGCGACGAATCTAGCTGGGGCCTAGGTACCAATCATGTGTTGGTCAAACTTGAAGCAAAGTTGTGTGACCAAATTTGGCGATCTTGTGAGGTTTAGGTGTTGGTTTATTCAAAATTGAAGGGACCATGACACCCAAAAGGGGGTGTGAATTAGACAACTTAAAAACTAGTGGACTCTAAAACCTACTTATCAAAAGTAGTGCAAGATAGTACCTAGATGTGCACCATGGTTTTGCTAAGTGTTGCTATCTCTAACGCAAAAAGGGTTTTGCACCCTAGGTTTCAATCCTATTAATTAACCTAGCGAGCTATAGTAGGAAACATAAGTACACAACTAAGGAATGCAAGTAAGTACGGAAACATAAATTGAGTTAGAGAATGCAAACAACCACGATGGCTATTTTTCCTAAGGTATCGAGGAGGTCACACTTTCCCCTAGTCATTGTTGGAGTCCCTTAAGGGCCAAGCTCTTGGGCGGGTAACTTCGTGGGTAGCCCACGGGCCTTTCCCACACACAAGTGGGTATCTGTGTGGCCTATCCCGAATCTTTCCCAACTGTCTTCACTATTGACCTTCCAATCAAAATGTCACGAGACTCATTCCCTTAGTACAATCTAGGTGGCCACTCCACATGTCGAAGGGTCTAGCAAAACTTACAAAGTCCCTAGTGTACAACACTTGGTGCATGCAATCACCGATAGCTTGGAGGTATGCAAACCTCACTAAACACATGGCCTAAACCTAGAGCAAGCACTAATTGTGGTCTAAACTAGCCTAAGCACTTTGCAAAGCACAAACACTAATCACCTAATCTTTACTTAAGCACCTTTGGTGGCTAGAGCACTTGTATATGAGCTTCAACTCTCACAACTTCAACACATTCTAACACCTCTCAAATGGTCGGGTACGCGGGTATCTAGCCATTGTAGCTGACCGCCGGAGACAAAAGATCTGGTGGGGAGCTCTGGTGCACCACTGGAGAGCTCCGGTGAGTGTATCACATCCACCAAGTCTCCAACATACCCTCTCTAAACTTAAACTCTGGAGCACTTTGAAAGTTATGGTGAGGGCCTTCTCTTCCCAACCTCGGACCAGACTTGACAAAAAAATATTAAAGTTTTTCCAATGGATTGTTCTCAAACTAGGTAATTGTGTGTTACATGTTTTCTAAGTTGTGAGTATTGACTTTTGCAGTATAGATTGATTTTGGAGCCACTTTAGGTTGGACCATATTGCAAATATGAAACTAGAAGAGAAAGTAGTGTTCTACATAGAAAGCACACCTCATGCTAAAAATGTGGCTGACGTGTTCGGGAACCATGAAGAAGATCACGTCATAAGCATGATGGGGAGATTTCTACACACACACACAGGTAATTGTATTTGTGTTGTATGTTAGCTAAGCTGTGAGTATTGACTTTTGCGGTATAGATTGATTTTGGAGCCACTTTAGGTTGGACCATATTGCAAATATGAAACCAGAAGAGAAAACAATGTTCTTCATAGAAGGGGCACCTCGTAGTTGAAAATGTGACTGGCGTGTTTGGAAATCATGCAGTCCAGAAGATCACCAAGCACAACGACGAGATTTCTTGTTCACACATGCGTGCGCGCGCACACACACATGTAGACGCACACGCACACAGAAACCATGGTCAAAATATGTTTCTTTATGTAACAAACTGTAGCTCCCGATTTTAAGAACAAAACCAGATACACACCATATGTGAGGCCAGGAAGTTAATTCTCACATATAACTACAAATAAGGGTAATATCAATAGACAATGCTCAATATATAACGTACCTAGTATAAAGAATATAACCTTAGATAGCAAACAACGGAAAGACAACTCTAATCTTCGGGTGAAGACTCCAATTCCATAGGGACAACTGACTAGTTGATCACAAGCCTATTTCCTCCAAACTCTAGCAATCTGGTACCCATCCAGGATTTTTCCAAAGATTTAAAAAGTAAAGCAAGTGTAAGTACATGTCGTACTCAACAAATATAACATGGGGTTCATGAGGCTTAAAAGGCTGACACTGATTTAACTGCGATTAGCTTTTAATGAGTCATCTTTTAGCGATTGGGTGGCAACAAGTTTATCCACAAGTCCACATAAACACATGATCAGATAAACATGAATAATGAATAGCATAAACAGTAATCATTAGTGAGCATCTTTATCATCAATATCATCAGTGTTCATCATCTATTCCGTAAGGGTCCAAGGTCGCTCGTGACCGTGAGCACGGCTGATATACCAGTTTTACACTCTGCAGAGGTTGTACACTTTCACTGTGAGTCGTGATTTACCCTTTCGTCCGAGATAGCTAATCTCTTGACCCACTTCCAAGGAAGGTCGGCAGGGTTCACTATGAAGCCTTTCAAAGGTTCGTCTAACAAGTTAGGACCATTAGATTCACTCGGCAAATAGATGTAGGGACCCCCTTCCTGATGGCACAATGACACGTAGCCTATACACAAGGGGACAGAGGCTGTCCTATACCCGATTCGGCAAGCCATTCTTACGCCAATAAAGGTAACCTCTAACAAATTAGAAAATGTCCTCATACTGAGCTAAAGCCAGAGCCATGTAGCCCTCATAGTTGTACTGTAAGTCCTGGATGTTCGCTTACAGATAAGTCCTTAGGGAGAAGAATCTAGAGCACCATAAAAACAGCCCAATGCTCTAGGCCCCTTGTTCCATGTTGCTAAAAAACATCTTTTAGTATTTATTGCATAATCCATTAGTCGAGTTACAAGATCATGGTTGTAGTTGAGCACTAGCATCATACTACCCAATGCAATACCCCATAGGTATCAAGGTACAAGGTAACAAAGTATTAGGAAATCCTTAGTGGTAATCAAGGTAGACACATGCAGTATGAATTAAATGATTAAAGGTGTATAGGACAACAAGGAAGATCCCATGCTATACTTGTCTTAAACTTAGATCCTTCTTCTAGTCCAAACCTTCAAAGATCTGCTTCTTGATTCACCACGTATAGCTTACAGACTGGACATGATCATAGAGCACCACATAAGCATCCATGCAATCATACACAAAGCAAATAATAGATCTAAATTAGAATAGTACACCAAACATAAAATCAAGATGAAAAGTTTGTAAAACGAATCTACATCTCGCTACGAACACACAGACGCGAAAAGCAATCTAATCGGAGCTATAACGAAAAAGTTATGAATTAAACAAGATTTCCCTTAATAAAATAATAGATTAAATCTAACATCGAATTTCAAAAGTTGAAAGTATATTTAATAGTAGGATGAACATGTAGATTACTCAATTACGAATCTAACGTAACTTGAATGGATCAAATCGGAGTTAAAACAAAGAAACTACGCATAAAATAAGATCAATGCCAATTCTGTAAATATTTTAAAATCAATTTCGTATTAAAAATAATTAAAAACTGAATTATAACAGTCCTGTGGACCGGGGCTCGTTTTTGGAAAAACACAGGGGTCAAAACATAAAAACTAGGGGCATTGATTGAATTATTTTGAACTACGTTGGACGGCGGGTTTATTTGAAAAAACTGCATGGTCTCTTTAGCAAAACAGCCAGATTGACTAGGTCTCCGCTGATGCAGAGTCCACATGGTGACATGCGGCGGCTCCTGAGTGGCGGGTTCATGGTGGACTGCCTGCGTGGCG